GGGTCAGGAAGAAGAATGGTGGCTGGTGGCATGAAAGGTGCTATCTTGATGTTGGCTGTGCATACAGAAGCATCAGGACCCTTATCTTGCTCCTTCATTATTGGCCTTTACGAGCTATCAGAAAACTGACAGCTGTATAGCCATGTGTCATTTAAATGTGACTCTCTAACTAAAACCTGATTTTTTTTTCCTATGGGACCTAATACTGAACTAACTCCACTGTCTGCCTGTAAAATATAAGCTTGTATATAAGCTGCTATATTTAGAATAATCTTCTCTGGGAATGACATTATGGCATTTGGGATATCTGCTTTGTATAATAGCTTAATTTTCTTTTATTTCATGAAGGGCTTCAGACGGTGATTTTTTTTTTTTAACTTACTGAATAATGGAGAGCTCAAGCTGTGTTCTTTTTAAAACAAACACCAGAAATAAAATACCTGCATTTAATGTTTACAAGTAATTATGTTAGTGATGCAAAATAGAGAATCACATCCAATGTTGCTTTCCACAGCTCTTTCTGTGAGTGCCCACTGTGGATTGTGTTCTCTCAAAATAGCAGCTTCAGAGGGACAGGGATTCCGAAAGATCTAATGAGCAACCTCAGTGTGTGCCATGCTCCAAGACATGGCACATTCCATGTTGTATGTTCAGATTATTCTTCTCTCTGTCTGTCCCTGTTTCTCATTCCTATTCCCTTCTCATTCTTCACTCCTTCTCTGTATCATTTGTAGTTTATATTAAGAATGTATGGAAGAAAATGAAGAAAAATACACATATTCAAGCCATAAAACTAACTTAATTGCAAACTTTCAAGTTGGGCTTAATTTCCTAAAGCCCAAGATAGAAACAATCAGCTAATTGTTATTCTCAGAAAGAAGGAAATACATAAATTCCTGAGAATGTTAAGTGTTTCTTAGTACTTAATTGTAAAGTTTTTCCACAAGTAACCCTTTCACGATTTTCTTGTGTGTGGTAAATTTCTTATCTCTTGTCAGTCCCAGAACTTTTTGTCTTTGATTTTTAGATAGCTTGATAGTTATGCTTTTTTGGTGGCCCAAATTTGACTGGCAACTTCTTTGCCTTCTGTTTCTGGATGTCAGCATCCTTTCCCCAATTTTGGGAAATTTCTACCATCATCTCTTTTTTTTGTTTTTGTTTTTTGTCAGTCGTGGGGCTTGAACTCTGGGCCTGCACACTGTCCCTGAGTTCTTCTGCTCAAGGTAAGCATTCTACCACTTGAGCCACAGCGACACTTCTGGTTTTCTGGGGCTTAATTGGAGATAAAAGTTTTACGGTCTTTCCTGCCAGGGCTGCCTTAAACCATGATCCTCAGATCTCAACCTCCTGAGTAGCTAGGATTACAAACGTCAGCTACTGGTGCCTGGCAATCACTACTTTAAATATCCTTTCTAGCCTTTAAAAAAAATGTTTCAGAAATCTTAGTTCTCGTGCTGACATCTCATAATCTGCATAAACTTTCTTCATTTATTTTTATTCTTTTTTTTTTTTATTGTAAAGATACTATACAGAGGGTTACAGTTACATGAGTGAGGTAATGAGTACACTTCCTCTTGAACATTGTTACCCCCTCCATTGTTTTCCCCCTACCATCCCCTCCCTTCCCCGAGGTTCTTTTTTTTTTTTTTTTTTTTTTTTTTTTGATTGTGATTAAGTGATTACATAATTTCAAAGTCACAAGTTCATTCTAACTTTCCTGGAGCAAATTGTCTATCACAGTCTGTAATATATAACAGTGTTCACATGTTATATACCATATTTGTGATCAGCAGCATGGGGATATTTAGTAGTGGTTCAACCAGATGAGCGGGAGTTCTTTGTTTCTTAAGTCCTGTTAGTTTTGTCGTATCACCTAACATTTTGGATTTAGCATCCACTTATCAGGGAGACCATGTACCGTTTGTCTCTTCGTTCTTGGCTTACCTTGCTCAACATGATTCCTTCTAGCTCCATCCATTTCCCTGCAAATGCCATTATTTTGTCATTTCTAATGGCTTCATAATATTCCATTGTGTATAGATACCACAATTTTTGGATCCATTCATCTGTGGTGGGGCATCTAGGTTGTTTCCATATCCTAGCTATTGCGAACAGTGCTGCAATAAACATGGAGGTGCACGTGTCTATTTTTATTCTTTTATTTTTTTGTTCTTCTATCTGAATAATTTTTATTACTGTGTTTAAGCTCACTGATTTCCTATGCTTAACTCTGCTGGTGAAGCTTTTTATTGAATTTTTTTAAGTCAGTCATCTTCTTTATCTAGGATGTTTTCATCTTAAAAAAACTCACTTCTATTTCTTAACTTTATTTTGATTATGCATTGTCTTCCATAATCCATTAAATTTTCCATCTGTATATAACAGTATATTATATGTTGAACTTTCTTAAGATAATTATTCTGAAATCTTTGTCAGTCAATTTGGATGCCCTTCCCTTCTCCTTCCCCTTCCCCTTCCCCTTCCATTCCTTTATCTTCCCTTCCTTTATCTTCCTTTCCTTTGCCTTTTCCCTTCTTTACCAGTAGCAGGCTTTGAATTTAGGACTTGCTTGCTTGCTCAGCTTACTTGCTTAGCTGGTGCTCTACCACTTGAACCTTGAGCCACACTTCTAGCCCAGCTTTTTTCTGGTTATTCTGGATTTGAAATCTTGGGGATTTTTCTGTCTTGCCTGGCTTTAAAATATAATACTCTGGGGCTGGGAAGGTGGCTCAGTGGTAGAGCGCTTGCCTTGCATGCCTGAGGCCCTGGGTTCGATTCCTCAGCATCACATAAGCAAAAAGAAAAAAGCCAGAAGTGGTGCTGTGGCTCAAGTGGTAGAGCGTTAGCCTTGAGCTGAAGAGCTGAGGGACAATGCCCAGGCCCAGAGTTCAGGCCCCATGACTGGACCCCCCCAAAAAATAAATAAATAAAAAATATAATACTCTGGATCTCAGCTTCCTCAGTTTCTAGGATTACATGCAAAAGCCACTTGAGCTCAGCGAGATGTCCATTTCATTAGAGTCTAGCTTTATTGTTTCTTTTGATGGTATCACAATTCTTTATCATTCTTATGTCCTTGTATTGGTACTTATACATTTGAGGAGACAACCACCTTTTCTAGCTTTTGTAGCTGTTCTTTGGTATTGACAGAAGTTCACTATTTACTTTGGCTTTTGGTTCTAGATGAGATCGCTGATCTTGACCCTGAGCAGGCAGAGCTTACTGTTGGGTCCTTTAGTTGGTGGCTGCTCCATTTGCTCTTGTGTTTAGGTGGGCTACTGACTGGGCACTGATGTCTGGCCTTGCAAGTAGATAGAACTGCTTCTGAGCACGGCATTCACTCCTGGTCTGCCAGAACTATAGAGTATATTTTTGGTTGAGCATTGCTGTTATGATAGCCCTTCAGGATTGAGCAGTGCTAGGCTCTGAGTTTACGCAGAGTCACTGCTTGAAATGGATGGGTATAGAGCTGTGGTTTATGGAGTATATGTTGGGGCCATTTCTTTGCATGGCCAGGCCATAGAGTGGCTCAGAGTTTGGGTGGAGTCATTCTTGGAATTGCTGGGCATGGTATCAGACTTGGCTCTGATAATGTCAAAACTGGAGACTGACTTAGATGAAAACAAAATCAGCCATATAGAGGATTTCCAGGGATGGGAACCTTTTTTCTGCCAAGGGCTGTTTTGTGATTTATAACAGTTCCAGGCCATACAAAATTATTATTTCAGAAAGATGGGTCATAGGCAGCCAGCAAGAATCATTACATGTCTGTCCTGTCATATGCCAAGTGATATTGTGGGTCTTATATGACCCATGGGTCAGATGTTTCCAAGGAACAAAACCAGAAAACAACATTGGCAAAATTTCTGTGCCCGTTTAGGTGCTTGAATGATAGCCTAGGCTCTATGTCATGGAACACTGAAAATGATTTATGCTTTTAACATGTCCTAGGAAGATGTAGCACATCCTAACTATACCCTCAGGAAGCTCTTAGTCATACTCCATAGAACTTGGAGCCTTTTGATGATAGACAACCTAAATGAATGGAAATGTTTCAACAGCAACTAAAGAAAATAGATGCCAAACTAATGTAATTTGATAAAGCAACTGAACTCAGAAAATCCCTATCAGTTATCAAGTGTACTTACAGAATAGTTAGTATAAAAACATTTTCCTAATAATATTCTGGAAAAGAAGAAAGGAATGAGGGAAGTGGGAGGAAGGGAGGAGAAGAAGAAGGAGGGAAAGGAAGGAATCATTTCCTAGGCTGGAATAGTTAAGATAGGTGAAGAAAGAGCAGGATTCAGTGCGATATCCAAATCAACACTGATCTATCAGGAAGTGTTGCTGCTAGCTGTCTCTCAAGGATCAGCCTGTAAAGATCAGTTCAGAACCGTTAACTCTTATCCATCAGCTTGGAACCAAGGAGAGATAAATGGGATGTGCTGTTAGTGCAGTAGATTGGCTTGGGCTACCTTCCTGTACACTTGTGATGAGATCCAGAAGGCAGCTAGCAGAGACTTTGTAAAAACTTTCTCAGCCAAGGATTAACTTTTTATAAACCTAATTGCCATTTTGAAAAATTATATGGAAAATTTTTGAGTTTATTCCTGGTAAATTATAACCCAAAGAAGGATTCTATGTAAAATGAAAGCTACAAGATTGATCCCAAGGTAAGAATCTACTAGTCTGGTCTTTATTTTGTGCTCTACTTGGTTTTAGCCTGTTAACTAAATGAACTCTAGATAATATAGATATTGCTGAGTCCACTGGAAGTAACATCAGACCCTTGGCCAGTCACCAGAGTCAAGAAAGAGGCTGAAAGATATTTCAAGTGTGCAGGAGTGTGAGCATAATGCATATATATCACAGGGCTGAAACATGTACATGGGAATTAGAAATAGCAGAAGTGTTCTTCAGTAGCCAGTTTAGACAGAACAATTCTCCTACCACATCACTACTTACAGCATGAGTTAACTTCTGTCTGCTTTTTCTTTTAGACCTCTGCTCTTCCAGACAAGTGAACATGTGGCCAATAGCCCAGCACTGGGGGATATTATTCCATTCAGCATTGTTATTCAGTTTTTGTTCACAAGAGCACCTGCTGAGCTGAAATCCCCATTCCAGGTAATCAAGTGAGGCTGGAACTCTCTTGGAAGTGACTTGTGTGTTATCTTTGTGAGCACTGAAGCCCCGCACTGAATGGGATCTTGGCCCTCCCGTTCCTCATGTAGACCTGCATATTTCTCTCTGGTGGTGAATAGTGACTGCTAAAGAGAAACTCTCCCTGCATAGCATCCACCTTTTCAGCAGTGTAATAAAATTACCTGATGTGTAGGCACTTGTGCCTCAAACCTGTCCTATTCCTATTCAGGAGACAGATCAGCAGATTGTGGTTCAGCGCCAGCCCAGGCAGGAAAGTCCATGAGACTCCTATCCTTAATTTAAAAAAAACAAAAAGCTGGACGTGGAGGTGGGGCTCAAGTGGTAAAGCGCTTGAGCAGAAAAGCTCAGGAGCAGCACCCAGGCTTTGAGTTCAAGCCCCAGGACTGGCATGAAAAAGTGATAAATCCCAAATTCACCTTTAAGAATAACACTGTCACAAGTAATTTATGTTCATGAATTTCTTTGGATGAAGACTCCATTTCTTGTGCTGACTCACCTTTCATTAGCAAATCTTGAGGCGTCTTGGCCAAGACAGTGCATACCACCTTTCAGATACGACCTTTGGTGGGTGTTGGTCATAATTTCACTTGGGAAGTCCTCAGAAATGCTCAGAACATTTTCTCATCTCTAATTGTGTTATGACCCTGCAGAGAGCAGAATGGTCCCACGCACGCTTCTCCCAGTGGCTGGATGACCATCCTTCTGAAAAGGACAGGCTCCTCCTCATCAGGTAAACTTGTGTGAGCCAAGACTGCTTGAGTGCCAAGGGGACGCAGGGGCTGTGCCTGGGTGGGCAAGGACATGTGACTGTACCTCCTCCAGGTGGCCACCACACTGCATGAGCACCTGTTTACCCCAAGTCCCCACAGTGAACTTTCAGGCCCCGTAACTTTGCTGTCCATCCTATCTCCTCCATACCTTCACATACTCTTGTGCTATCTCGTGCTTTAATGTAGCCCTGGATCATTCACTTGCAGCCTTAAAGCAACTTCAGCTATGAGAAGACACTTTAGCTCCATATTTTGTTTCATGTGTTGCAGTTAGTGAACTGGTGGCATGGGAGGGAACTCAGAATAACACCCAAAGAGTCTATAATTACTCGTAGGAAACAGGAGTAACTCAGCACAACTTTGACACTATGTACCCTTCAGGGACCCCCACAGATGCATGTGTGCATATAAACGTGTACAGAGGTTGCATGCCCCAGCAGGGATGCTTCTACTCTTTTTTTTGGGGGGGGGGGGGTCCGGTCGTGGGGCCTGAACTCTGGGCCTGGGCGCTGTCCCTCAGCTCTTCAGCTCAAGGCTAGCGCTCTACCTCTTGAGCCACAGCACCATTTCCGGCTTTTTTCTTTTTGTTTATGTGGTGCTGAGGAATCGAACCCAGGGCCTCATGCATGCAAGGCAAGCACTCTACCACTGAGCCACCTTCCCAGCCCATGCTTCTACTCTTACATGATACTTGTTAGGCATTTTTCTCTGATCAGTTTTTGCTTCTGAGATTGCTCTCACCAGAATTCCCAAAGACCTTATGGTCAGTATTCTCATCCACCTCTTCTGCAGCTTTTGCCAGAGTTGACTGCCATTTCCTCTTTTCATCAACTGACTGAACATATTCACATTGATGTTAGGCCCATATTTTATTGGTGACCCTATGCTCAGAACTGAGGTTACTGAGTAAAATGTGTTAGACCCTGTTTGCTAAGAGCTTTCATAATTTCATGGTTGGTCATCTGTTTTCCAGGTCACTTTTCCCCATTTGCTTAATTGTCATCTTTAATTCTTCTTAATTGTCATGTTTAATTCTTAAATGCTGTCATTTCCATATTTTGTTCCTGGCTCTCTTTTGTCTTCTTTTGTCTGGACGTTGGCATCCAGGTGAGCTCATGCAGACCCACACCTCATGTCTTCTTATCTTTTTCAGTTAAGAGTCTGTGACTCACTTGGTTGTAAGGGGCCTCAGGCTGTCAGATGTTAGCACTCAAACACCCCCGCAGAAATCTCCATCCCAAATATTCTTTTCTCACAAATCTTCTCCTTCCCCTGTATATTCTGTATTGATGGAAGGTCACCATCACATAATCAACCAATGTAGAAAAGCTTTAAATCATTCCACTCCTATGTTGCTCTCACTCTCCACATCTGGTCAGTTTTCTGTCTCAAACAGTTCTTGAAACTATTCTCAGGTCCCTGAGCTTTATGGTATCTCAGTGCATGTGATGTTTGGGTCCCCTAGAGCCACGGGAAGTCTCAAGCACTGTGATACGTCTTAGCTGCACATGCCTGAAAGCATCATCCCAGCTTCAAGGGGTATTTTCCACTTGTCAAGTGAGAGCATCCACTGAAGAATCTGGTGGAGTCCATGAGAAACAGCCCATCAGCTTCCTAGAATGGCACTCAACCCTCAGGGCTGGTGTCAAACCCTCTAGAACCTGTGTGGCCTGCTCTGCCTTTCCTTTCTATACCCAGCTTTGAACATCTGACTCAGAAATGGGAAAGGTTAATTCATGTGCCAGCTTCAAAGTGCTCTCGAAAAGGCTTCTGGTGTGACAAGCCTGGGATTCAACTCAATCAGGGATTTGCTGTGTCTGTAAATTGTTCTCTGAATCCCAAAGATTCACTCAGCTGCAACATACTTGGTAATAGAAAAGATTCAGATAATTGAACAAGGCTCACTTTTGTCTTCTTAACAAGTTGGAATGACTCCTCTACAACAGTTGTCCTGCTGTGGATACAGCACAACTCTTGTTTCTTTTGCTTCTCTTTAAAAATGTTTGAGTGATTTCATCAGCAGTGCTGTTGCTAGGCTTGTGTTTACCCATTGAAAACTGCTTGGAAATACTGTCCTGCTTTTTAAAGGAGGCCTAACATCCCTCTGCACATGGCTGATCCCACACCCTTCATTGAAGTCTCCTTGGGGGAACCTGCAAAAGCCGCACTGTTGCTATAGCCTGGCTCTTGGCAAGGAAGGACATTTGCCTTTGAGACTGTCCTCTCTCATATATCTGTTCCTATATACCAAAGTGTCACTGGATATCTTTCTTTCCCCTGGAGATAAACCCAGGGAGAGTATCACTCTTTAAATGTCAGCACATTAGTTTTAGTTGCTGGGGCAAACCTTGTTGCATGCTCATTCTGCTCCTTCTGGCATCATCTGTTAGGTTGTCATAAGTAGGGCAAAGAGGATCATGGAGTAATGCTACTGAATGACAAACAGCAAGCTCTCTTTTGCCTTTCTTCCAGTTTCTGTATAGCACCGTATTTTTTTCTTGGTGTTTTAATGAAGAGTGATAGAAAACTGCATTTCTGGGCAGGTTGCACAGACATGTGTGGTCCAGGTGCAGTCATCCCACCCAGACCTGTGTGTTGCAGTTATTGAATATGCCTTCAGCAAAGATGGAAGAGTGATTTAAATTATATTTTATTATCTTTAAGTAGTAAACAGAAATTGCCACTCAGCAAATCATTTTATGATTACAATGTCACCCCTTTCATCATTCCCCCTATCCCTCCCAACCCACCCCCTCTACTCAATTTCCTTGATTTCACAGGATATACCTTGAGTATTATGACTGCATTTCCCTCCCTCTTGGTCTGCCCTCCTCATTCAACACCTTCCAAGTACCAGTTTGCTGGTATTTCTTTTGTTGGACTGTGTGTTTTCTAAGGAATTATACTGTTAGAACTCTCAAAGTATGAATTTTTGGTGCAAAGATTGTTCAAGCTCTGTAGAAATGATAGGGTTTATATAAAATACTTGGTGCAAACATGTCCTTTGGCCCCTTGCCTTCTTGCCGTCCAGGACCCGCAGACAGTCCTTATCTGTTCGCAGAACTTCAAGACCCACACTGCTATAGGGTAATTCTCTTGATTCTATGAATATCACTACATACCAATTTTGGGTACTGAGTGAGCAAGATGAGTTAATAGGACAGAACCAGAAAAGCCTAACGTTTGGCTCCCTTTTGAGGCATGTTGAATACATTGTCATTTCTGTATTTCAGTACTAGTCACACCAGATATTTAATGCCTGACAAAAATCAGCTTTGTTTTCCATTAAAACATCTATTTGGTTAGTGTATTATCAAATTGGAACAGTTCTGCCATGCAACTACAAACCATTCCTCTACTAATACTTGGGTTTTATGTTTTCCCAGTAATCTTACTTTGGTTACAAACCAAAGTTGAAAGTACCTCTAAGAAAGCTAATGTTTCACTGAAACAAGTGAAGTCATTTAATAATTGTTGAAAATTTTGCTTTGGTTTTATGTGGGAGGGCAGCCTAATCTGTGTTTCTCCCTCATAGTTCTGATGGTGTTTTTGAAGAATACAAAAAAAATTAATCAAACTTATTTCTGTTTTCTTCAATATTGTATAATCTGTAGTTTCATTCATACGAATGAAAATGGAACTGTAGTTTATGTATTAATACATTATGTATTAATAGGATGGATATAAATGCATTCACTCTGGAGCAATTCCAGGTTCTATGAATTTCATCTTAGAATCACTGTACACATACCAGTGTATATACACATGTATTACCTCAAAGATAATTGAACCCTGGGGGTTTCTTTGCTGTGTATTAATCTGTAAAAACTACATTTAAGGGGGATGAGGGGAGATGGAAAGGGAAGGGAAGGGGAAACAAAGGAGGAGGTAACAATGCTTGATTAAAATGTGCCCATATAATTGTAACCCCTCTGTACGGTATTTTCACAGTTTTAAAAAAAAATAATTTCTGACTGGAGCCAAATCCAGCAAATCCTTCAATAAAGGATGGTCTCCTTAGCTCTAACACTAAAGCCAATATCTCCACAGTTTCTGACTTTGGGCGCTATTCACAGTATTATTATTTGATAAATAGTTTGTATGGAAATTTAAATAAATTGACCCTGTTTATAGGTTAAAAAAAAAAACAAAAACAAAAAACTACATTTAAGAAGTTGGGGTGATTTCTGGGGGTGATTTCTGGAATAGAATGGCAGCTAATGTATTAAAAGCAGTAGCTCCATTAAGGGTTAGATCTCACATGAGTTGAAGCATCTCACAAAGCATTGTTCTATAAGAGGACTGAATTCCATCTTTGCACACTAGATGAGAATTATATGTGAGATTAGGAATTAAGCATATGAACTGAGTAACATAGTAGCTTACACCTTTTTCAAGAAACTGTTTCTTAAATAGAGGTCAGCCCATCCTTCCACATAGCTAATTTAAAAGATTGAGTCATGCTGGCTCTGAGCATAGAGCAAGTCTTCAAGGATTCTGGAATGCTGGGTACTGTGATGTCCAGGCTGTGGATGAAAGTCAAAACTTTCCACAGATCTGTGTGACTCCATAGGCGTTTGCATTCTTTTGTGATGTAGGAGTCAGGAAAGGCTTATTGAAAGGGAGCATTTCAAATTGAGTCTGAAGAGACAGAACTCTGCAAGAAAGCAAACAAGAACATTCAAGGATAAAGGTGGTAATGTGCAAATGAATGAGACTGTTTCCTCCTTCACTTTACTCAGTATGTCCCCAAATGAATCAGGCCTTTGCAAGCTCCTGCCTTATCATAGAACTACTTCTTTATTTTGGAATAATACATGAACAAACATCCTCGATATCTTTCTGCACAGGCAGTGGGGTTGGCTAACAGTCACAATGAATGAAGTGTCTTTGTACATTACTTAGTCACACACATGGGAGTCTGAGGCTTTTAGGCTATGTCAGACTATCTAGTAAAAGCCCATAGTAGTACAGAGGTCTGTGTGGTGATTGATCATGGAGCTGATATTCAGGTAGGTTGAGTTTGGGCACTGTCATGTCCAGAATAAGCCTAATGAATGACATTGTACCTCAGGAATTTAAAAAAAAAAAAGAGCTCTTTTGTCATACTGTGCAAGAATGACTAGGGGGAGGAAGCTACCACCAGGCTACGACCTCTTTAGAGGCCACAGCATAAGGTAGCAAGGTTTCACAGTGAAGCCAAGGAGAGAACAGCGACTGGCAATAATGTAAGGCAAATGTATAGGGTAGGGCAGTCTTAGGGCAAAGGTATAGGGCAGGGCAGTCTTAGGACAGTCTTGTGTCTTCCTAAATTTTTGACAGGTTAAGTTTGAGGGAAATCTAGAAGAAAATATGATAGAGATGTCCAGAAGACAGAGGGAAACAAATCAGGAAGGGAGGTCAGGGATAAATTGGAAATACTTGACATGTGAGCATGCAGGTAGTTTGGTGGGGGGCACTGTGTAGAGAGATGGGTAAGTACAACCTGGCCAACAGTAAATATTTTCTGTTTGGGAGAAAAAAAATCCTGTTACTAAATGTCTCAAGATTGAGTGAACTGAGTGCAGGTATTGTTATACATTTTATAGATGTGTTCTAATCTCAAAACCAAGTGAATTTTGAAAAGTGATTACGACTTGTTAAATTTGTGTACATGACAATGATCTTTTTACCATTCTTTCACCTCCAGTTAACAGTTATGCTTCAGTAATTAGGAAACTTTTCCCATAAAAAGGCCAGACACGTTTTACCAAGGGCAGGGGACATCTGGCCCTAGAAATCATTTGTACTTAATGGGACAAACAAGTGTGCTTCTTGTTGGCTGCTGCAGCCTGTCTTTCTGTATTGATGACTATGTGCAGCCTGTGAATGACGTTCTAAGTATCCAAATAGTCCTTGGCAGAAAAAAGGTTTTCTACCCATTAGGCATTGCCAAGTTACTGCTTCCACACTTAACTCTGCTATTGTATGAGAGTGGTCCTAGACAGTAGAGAAAGGAGCAGCACAGGACTGCATAGTGCTTGGAGGCTTTTGCTGAGTCCCTCATCTACTTCATGAGGACACCACACCATATAACCTCTACTAAGTTCAGACTCCAAAAGGTTTTGGTTGTGAGTGGTCCGTGGTCCACAGTCCAAGTATCAGGAGTATTTTATGCCTACTAGTGTTACCATGTATAACACTACAACTCTATTCTCCAGCATGATTTTCCAGGTCACCATCTCCCTTTGTGAACTTCCAATGGGGACAGCTGCTTTTTAGAGTACCTTCAGCAGGGAAGTCTGGAACAGGGACAGACAATCAAGAACACACTAAAAACCAGCCAGCCTCTGAGCAGAATGAAAAATACTTATACTTTTTCACCATGTTGAACTGAGCATAAGTGAGCATAGTAGTTCCAGAAATGGGCTCATCTCTGAGTTTTTTGTATTGGTCTTCCCTCTAAACTATGTGTGTAATATCTGACATTGTCTTCATTCTGGTTTTCAGGGGAGCCCTGGAAGCTTACGTTCAATCAGTGAGAAGCAGAGAAGGCAAAGAATTTGCACCAGTTTATCCCATAATGATTCAGCTGCTTCAGAAAGCGATGTCTACTCTTCAATGACAATGTGAAACGTTTGTTAATCTCCACATGGCATTAAACAATTCAAAGTTGGCAGTTAAATAACACACACTTTTAAAAAAATGATGGTAATTGATTTTTCTCTCTTTAGCACTTCTTCCAAATAATTTTTTTCTACCACATCCTTTAAATTCCATGGTCATGATTTTTCCAGGAAGGCACTCAACTTTTTGTCTTCCCTAGCATATAGCTGAGTCTCAGTATTGTTACAAAGTCCTCACTGCTTTTAAAGGGACATGATCAAGGCACTCAGCTTCCCGCAGCCTGCCTGCCTGCCTTTTAAGTATATATAGCCCACCCACTGGTTCCCAAATTCGGTTACATGTTCATAACACCAGTACAACTTGTAAGAATTCTAATGTTCAAGTTGCACCTCGAGTAGTTACAGGGAATAGGGGAGCCAGGTATCCCTAGAAGGATTCTACATCTGCAACATACCCCAAGGCCAAGTTTAGGGCTGTTCTTTAAATGTGTTATGCTGTATCTTTAATGAAGCCTGGGTTTCTTTGTACTTGGTCAATTTATTAAAAGCAAGAGACTGGTGGCTATGGAAAAGACCAAGTATTTTTTCTTCTTCTATGAAATGTCTATAATCTTAAGTTCTATCTTTTCTATAGCCCTTTTCTGAATTTCATTTCTTTGATTTTTTTTTCAAGCTCTCATTAGAAACTTAAAACCAAAAACGAGTCTTCTGGCAAACTTTGTTGTTGTCCTTCAGATTCTAGCCTAACAATTCATACATAAAATTCAGTCAAGGTCAATCAGAAGTCAGAGATAACCTTTTTTTTTTTCATTTTATTTGAAATAATATACAAGAATATAATGTGCAAAATTGAGGGGCAACATCATGAAGAAGTGTAATGAACTGAAATCAGTTTTACAGCTGTGATTCCTAACCAGAAACACCACTTGGTAAATTACATGAAAAGCCATGATTGTAGCTCAGAGCAAAAGCAGCTGTATTGCCAATGTATTTGCTCCAATTTTAGACAGTTGGAGGAAAAGTAAAGTGCAAGTGTTGCACTGCAATAAGTGCAAAGTCTGCCCCCACCATAAAGATATGATGATGAAATATACTTAAGATATGTGGCTGAGAAGATACAGAACACAAAGTTTAAAAATACAATGGTGTTGACTGTTAATAGCACCATTACAGTGACTATCCCAATGCTATTAACTAACTCTGCCTTGGCCTGACTCACCGTCCACTGGAAATTGTGGTAAAGTGCTGCCACCTGGTGCACATATACACTCAAGTGTGCCTTTGCTCACTGCAGCACCATCTACCTGCCACACATGTTCGCTCTTGGCACTGGCCAGACTAGACGCGCCTGTGTTTGGCACAGATGCTGGGCCATGTGGTGGATGCTCATGGAAAGGCCAACTCCCAGTTTCTGCTTCATTCCATCATGTGTACAATACAGATTAATAAGCAGTAAGGAGCCAATGTATAAACAGCAGTTACATACTTTAAATTCCCCTTTTACAACTTAAAATAAAACATGTATACACTTCTCCTCTCTTTCTACTGTACTTTAGCACCACAGGATATCAATTTTCAAGCCTATATTACCTGATAGACATATATGAAGTTCGGAAGGAAAATAAGGCAATTTGGTTTACAATGTTGATAGTTTTAGCTTACTTAATGCTCTAATGGAGAAAGCAAATCCTCACTCATATTATTAAATCATTTGAAGACTCAAATGCTATCAGTATCTTACGATCACTTGAACTCAGGACAAATGGTGAGACTGATCTTATTAAGTCTTTCCATCAAGAGTCAATGGTTTCTGCATACAGACTTAAGAACATAAGCATCCTGGTTTAATGTTGTTGTGAGCCCTGTGGAAATAAAATTAAACTCAGTGAATCTTTACAAATCAATATATTGGATTAGTCTAATGTAAATTTTATAAATTTACTATTTAAAAAGATAGCTTTCTCAAAGACAATTTTGAAGTTGGCTAAGATCTGATGGCTCAAGCATCCACAATTTAAGAACATGATGAGAGACAGACTAGGAGAACAGAGATACAAATAAAGTCCCATGGAATTCTAAAGTGAAAAGAAGTTCCCAAATCCAGCTCAACTACCTGGTCAGCTGACAACTACTACTTCAAAAGAAATTATCTTTTTTAAGCCATTTTTTTGTCTTTTCTTTTTTGATACTTGGAAACCCAGAATGTTGCACTTGCTAGGCAAGTGCTTTGCCACTTAGCTACCTCCCAACCGATAGGATCAACTGTATGTCATTAAAAAAAAAAAAAATGGATGAATTTAAAACATCCTTAACTAGAACCTCCCAATTCTTACTCAGTTTTTATTATTTCAAATTGAACCAACTGTGTTCTATTATGTGTAGTATAATAATGTAAAATGATGAACATAAAAGATGCTAGTCTAGTAATGAAACTTGTTAGTAACAGAGTCTGTCAAAGATGGCATTATTGTACAAAACAACTTACCACCCTTCCTAGGCCTATTTTGTCTTCTTGCGGCTTTTAGTCTAGGAATTTTATACATATAGTAGAGGTCCTCATAAATGTTAATGTACCCTTATTCTGCCATCCTTGTTAGCCCCTTACTAGTTAAGGAAAGAAAGGCAGTTCAATCATGCTACCAAAAGTTAAAGGCTTTTTTTTTCCTACAGTATCAACAAGTCAGTAACACCTATCTTTCAACACAACTATCTACAAGTATTCCGAGGTTTTCTACTTCAGCACTTAGTGCACGTATTCTTTTTAAACTGGCTTGGAATTTCTCCTTTTCAAATAAGTAAATGAGGCTGTGATGAAAAGGCGGTCTTCTCCCCTCGCACGCACGCTGGAGTACAGCAATGTTCAGAAACAGTGCCAACACAACGTTTTAAAGGGGCTAACAACTGCACTAACATCCCAGTCCATCTCTATAAGCCAAGACCATTTTAAACAATTACTGATTGAAACATACTGAATTAGTTCTTTTCCTTTTCCAACAGTCAGGATTTAAACGTTTTTGTTCTTCAGCCAAAGCTTTTGCTTCTAACGTATACATCCTTCTCTCTTCATTCTTCATTTTCTTCCACCTGTCACCAAGGATCACACTTATGGCTCTATAAAAGAAATATTTATGAATGTTGAAGGCAAAGGTTTTTCAGGAAATTCATATCAAGTGCTGCTACTTTAGGCAGAAATGTGAGATTAGAAGGACAAACAAAAATCTTGATCAACAAAGAAAAGGTGCAAGCTGTCACAGTCATTTCCAGCAAAACCCATGTGTCGTATGGTTTGTTTAACGTAATCTTTTACACTTACAACCTGGAATACTGTCAGTGTTTCCAATTACTGAAAGATACCTAAAGTAACTAGAAATCAGGTATTTTCTAAGCTTAAATTAAAAAGAAAAAATTCAAACCATTCAAACTAAGATACCAAAAAAGCTGATGAGGGCTGGGAAGGTGGCTCAGTGGCAGAGTGCTTGCCTTGCATGCCTGAGGCCCTTGCCTTGCATGCCTGAGGCCCAGGGTTCGATTCCTCAGCACCACATAAGCAAAAAGAAAAAAGCCGCAAGTGGCGCTGTGGCTCAAGTGGTAGAGTGCTAGCCTTGAGCTGAAGAGCTGAGGGACAGCGCCCAGGCCCAGAGTTCAGGCCCCACGACCGGACCCAAAAAAAAAAAAGCTGATGATGTGTTAAACTTGTATTAAGAGCTTACAGCCTGTCAAACAAGCATAATAAAATGTCTTTTCTTCATTCATCAACCATAGTGAAAATGTGTTACTAACTATGCTTGCCTATTGTTTTTCTTTTATGAGGAAACTCAGATCAAGTTTACTCGCATTTTATTTCTCCTTGAGAAACTGGATTCAACTCAAAAGCTGTGGTTAGTCAAACTGGAGATACAATGGTGAAACTACTTTCTTATTTATACCTATTGCTCTACTTAAACCTATTGAAATAGTCTCATCCAAGAAACAGACATAAATCACTCCTTCTATGAAGAACTTTTAACTATTTCATGACACACACAAGGAAATTCTGGAGTGACTGCAAAGTACATGAAAGTGATTTTATATTGACTGATGAGACCAAAAGGTAAGTCATTTGTGCTTTAGAAGAACAGTAATAACCACTGAAGCCCTGCTACTTAAATCTATATTAAGTGCATCTGTCTTGTTACCAACTCTATCAATGCATCTATAAAGTCTTCTGCATCTTCCTTTACTAAAACTGAATAATGATTGACATATTTGCCAGTAAAACTAGTAAGAAATATGAACATACCTTTTCTCAGTCTTCTCAAGTATGAGATATTTTTGAGCGGGTGATTATGTGACACTTGGAAAACAAATGTACTCCTATTGTGTTGAAACATGATGGGTAATGAAATGCGCACAGTGGTGCAGATGATCTACATTTCCTCCCTTCACAATTACACAATGTACACACTACTTGGAGTTTACCTTGAATTTTCATCTAGACTGATGTAATACCAGTTTAAGATTCACTCTTATCTCTCTGACCTATTTTAGTTTCCATTCCCTTAGTTTAGACCCAGATTACATGTATCATATGGGAATAAAGCTGTGCTAAGATGCAAAGAAAAAAAAATAAAATTTCTTAGGAGCTACTCAAATAAGAAGAAATGGAAGATTAGAACTAAAGTTAAGATTAGAACTAAAGTCACACAAATGAGAGCCATAGTGTTAAACATTGAAAAGGTCCTTAGAATACTTGACTCGGTCCTTAGAATACTTAGTCATTCTACACTTTGAATTCTAAAGAAACAACCACCTGGCCACAGGTGGCTCATGACTAACCCTGGCTACTCAGGAGGCTAAGGTCTAAGGATCTCAATTTAAAGCCAACCAGGGCAAGAAAGTCAGAGAGACTCTTTTCTCCAATTAACCGTCAGTAACTGGGAAGCAGTGCTGTGGCTCAAGTGGTAGAGTGTTAACCTTGAGCAAAAGAACCTCAAGGACAATACCCAGGCTCTGAGTTCAAGCCCCAGGACCAACAACAACAACAAAAAAACCCTGTTATTCATTAGTGTTCTTTGTACTATTTTCTAAAGGA